TTTGTTCTGGTTATGGCTGTTGTATTAGTGGCTAGTGATAATTATCTTAATTTTCATTAATGTATGCATGTGGATTTTAGAGCTTAAATTGTAGGCGATTTGAGGTGACTGATGAAAAAGTGATAGGGTACGAAACAGGTTTATTTATTTCGGTTAAGTGTCCATTTGAAGCTGGATGTTATGTCTCATGTGAATGTATTTTACACCGTGCTTATTTTATTGGTTTACTATGTTTTTAAACTTTGATTTCTATGTAACTATTTTTTTATTCTATTAACGTGTGTTTTTTTGTCACATTTGTTGATGTATTTAGTATTTTTTTGTGTAATGTTTTAGATTAGTGGTTGACCATATTTCATATTTAAAAGTATGTAAAAAATCAGAGAACACCAACATGAGATATAACATGGAAATGCATATGACAAACTATACTTCCGTAAATCTGCAGAAATAGCTGAAGATCGATTTATTTCTTCTGCCAATCTTTCTTCTTCAAAGTCAATCCTAAAAGTCCATCAAACCACATTAACCCTTCATCATTAAACTGAATAAATGTTAATACCTTCTTCCTTAACTTGTGAAAAGAGCTCAATCTTAAATCCATGATCAACTTTTCATATTTGCTAATTCTTGTAATAATAATTTTCAACTATTGTTACGCTCGTAAGATTGGTAAAATAATGGAGAAACCTACGATAATGAGATTCTGAAACTTATACTTTACCTTGTCGTTGGTCAAAAGTAGGTTAAGATCAATTAGCTTCGAGGTTCTTTGTTTTTTTTTAGATTTCAAACTTCTGAAACATAATCAATTTCTTCTCACATATGTTAGGAACAACTTCGTGTAAAGAAGCTGACGATTGATTTCTTATTGTTGCTACTCTGAAGCCGGCAGCTTTGATAGTACACAGTGGGAAAGATAGGGAATATGTCTGAGTTTGACGACGGCTTGGCCTAAACGGTTGAAGAGAGGTAATGAAAAGGTATCTATAACAAACCTAATCACTTTCCGATACAATTTGGGTATTGTACTTTGGACCAAATAAAGTTAATAATTCTCTTTACATGAGTTTATCATCTAGTTATTGTATGAGAATTGATTTGACAATGTCAGTACACAATCATTTTCACCAGAAAATGAGGACATAACTTTAAAAAGAAATAACATGACATCAACTTAATTATGAGATATAAAATTTTTTAGATAATTTTTGAATTTATGAAAAGTTTTTAAAATATATTATTAGCTAATAATTTTTGTAATATCACTAAAAATAAATTTATGTATAAATATTTTTTTTTTTTGGAAAAACTTTTGAAATATTATAACTAATAAATTATATATCACCACTACAATATATATGTATATAGCATTAATAAAAAAAAGATATAAGTACATTGTAAAAAAGTTCACATTAACTTATATATCCTATGTTTATAGTTAAAAATATATATATATATATATGTTATAATTATTTATATTTTTTCTTTATAATACTGAACTAAAAACACTAATGAAATAAAACTTTTTTTTAATTAATGTATAAATTTTTATTAGCATTTATTGGTTCATTAAGTAAACTAAAATTTTTTTACCATTTTAAAATATTTTCAGCTAAAACAGAAAGATCTAATTTTTTTTTAAATTCATAGATTTAAATATAGATATACTTAAATGAAAGATAAGAATATATTTGAAATAAATAGTTATTAAATATAATAAACATTAAAATATCATTAAAGAATGTGACACATGGCATTTTTCCCCCTATGGAGAGAAAAAGCCAACTTTTAATAAATTATATATCACCACTACAATATATATGTATATAGCATTAATAAAAAAAAAATATAAGTACATTGTAAAAAAGTTCACATTAACTTATATATCCTATGTTTATAGTTAAAAATATATATATATATATATATATATATATATGTTATGATTATTTATATTTTTCTTTATAATACTGAACTAAAAACACTAATGAAATTAAACTTTTTTTTAATTAATGTATAAATTTTTATTAGAATTTATTGGTTCATTAAGTAAACTAAAATTTTTTTACCATTTTAAAATATTTTCAGCTAAAACAGAAAGATCTAAATTTTTTTAAAATTTATAGATTTAAATATAGATATACTTAAATTAAAGATAAGAATATATTTGAAATAAATAGTTATTAAATATAATAAACATTAAAATATCATTAAAGAATGTGACACATGGCATTTTTCCCCCTATGGAGAGAAAAAGCCAACTTTTAATAAATTATATATCACCACTACAATATATATGTATATAGCATTAATAAAAAAAAATATAAGTACATTGTAAAAAAGTTCACATTAACTTATATATCCTATGTTTATAGTTAAAAATATATATATATATATATATATATATGTTATAATTATTTATATTTTTTCTTTATAATACTGAACTAAAAACACTAATGAAATTAAACTTTTTTTTAATTAATGTATAAATTTTTATTAGCATTTATTGGTTCATTAAGTAAACTAAAATTTTTTACCATTTTAAAATATTTTCAGCTAAAACAGAAAGATCTAATTTTTTTTAAAATTTATAGATTTAAATATAGATATACTTAAACTAAAGATAAGAATATATTTGAAATAAATAGTTATTAAATATAATAAACATTAAAATATCATTAAAGAATGTGACACATGGCATTTTTTCCCCCTATGGAGAGAAAAAGCCAACTTTATTATATAAGATTAAGCAAAAATAAATCAATTGTATTTGTCTAACAAAAATTACAATACAGGGGGTAGTAATGTAAGACATTCATGGTTAAACGAAGTATATTTGAGCACCACCAGCACTCTACTAGGAGAATTATCTTTTGAATCGAGAACAGAGCAACATAGATTACCAGTTTAACATAACAGTCTCCTAAACAAAATGTACCTCACTATAGATAATGTGAGAAAGTAGGCACGAAGCATTAGGATGTATTTGCTCAAATCAAAGCTGCTTTAACGCAACATGGAAGGTCAATTCTGCTTACTACAGTCTGCACTACCCTTAAATCTTGAAACACCACTAGAACACAATAGTAGCATAAATATGTAACCCAAACAACAATCAGCGCAAAGTGCAGACCTACCACTACTACACATACTAGAATCATTTTCCGCGCGGCTACGCGCGGATAATTAATTTTAAATTTTATTATTTGATTTGTGAATATCAAATATATAATAATAATTGTGTTTATGAAGTAATTAAAGTGTAGAATATAATAGGAAAGGGGATATTTTATCTGATTATTTGGCTTAAATATTGTATATAGCTGCCTTATTCCACATTCTTTTTATTAAAAAGTTATTTTTATTAGTTTTCCAAAATACAAAAATTTAGTTTTAAATATAATAGCCATTACGTACGTGTTTACGTACTCTATTTTGTTTAGTTATATATTTTAATTATATTATGCAGTTTTATGTTTATTATGAATGAATTTTTGTATTGTTACACTTAATTATATTTTGTTTTGGTAATGGAAAAAGTTAAAGGGCATTAGTGGAAATTGAATTTATAACGCGTGTTATTTTTTTAATTTTATTATTATTAATTTATAGATTCTCGCATATTTCATTAAATTTTAGTGTTACTTGATTGCTGATTTTATAATTTTATACAAAATATATTGTTATTAAAAAATTAAATGTTAGTCATTTTACAAATATATTAATGAAAGTTGTATTCTTAATATTTTAACTCACAAAAAAAATTCTGAGAATACTACACATATTCTTTAGATTCTTAAAATTATTATACTATTTTAATTTTATAAATTTTCACAATAAATAAAATTATGTATAACTGTTTCCAAATTTAACAAATTTTTAGATTTATAAAATCAATAAACTTTATAGAAATTTAAGAGGGTGACTGGCTGTTGCTCTAGAGTCTCTCTACAGCCCTACAACTATACACCAATTATGCTTTATAATTTTAAGGAGTTCAGAGCCATTTTTTAAATTTACATATGTACTTTCCAAAATTTTATTCTAGGGCCACAGTAGAAAAATCTAAAGCTTAAATTCTACATCAAAAGTTTTAAAACTTCAGGATTACCAATTAAGCCCTAAGTCTCGTTAACGCTCCTTCAGTATTTGAGTGTAACTTTTTTTCCAAAGATTTTTAGGAGGTGTGGTAACTTTGTCATTTAAATGATAAAATGATTTTGCATGAGTTTGAATTACTTCTCATTCATATGCTCGCATATATACTTTGAAGTGTTAGACTTCATATATCTATTTCTTTACAATTTTTTTCCGTTTATATATCTCTAAATCGTTTACGATGATTTTGAATATAATCTGTTTAATGAAATTTGGGGTAAATAAATTTACTTGAAATTGTTAGGATAAATAGTTTTGTATTTTATTTGATATAAAATATATTCAAATTGAATTTACTTATAGGTTTGCGTATTTAAAATGATAGATCAATGTTTACCTTTTTATTATGAGTCATGTCTTTTATGTATTATCATATAATATGCATGTTGGTTGGTAGATGTTTTGTTGCAACAGGCCGAGCCAAGCTCGTGTATAAAGCAACCGAAGATCTGACGGGTTAAACATTTCACAGGTTTTATTAGCAATACGAATGGCCTATACTCAAATCACATAAAGAGTAAACAAATTCTTTCTTGGAGTTAATGCCACTCAAAAGGTATGATTTAAAAACCGAAGCTCCTTTTTCTTAATCAACACTGAATATCTCAAGCTTTTGCCCAAGTTTCCAGTGAATCCCTGATGATGATTCCATTTCCGGATATTCTCCATACAGATTCCATAGACATAGCGAAAAAAGTGAAAAGAAGATCAACAAAATAATCCCAACACTCAACATATAGGGAGCCTCAACATATATATGGTCGTTTTTTCCTTCATGACATGCATTCAGCAATATCTTTTGATCAGCTGGAGGATTAATTAGCTCCATGTTTCTTTGTTCATCATTTCCAGGTATGGAGCTGATCTGTGTCATCAAAGGTTCCCAAATCTGATTTCTGATTTCGGATTATACTTTCTTCATCGCTCGCAGGTTTCTCATAAGTTTTGCTGTTGCCAATATCATTGTTATTGCAGAAGTATTGATGGCTCCAAGAAGAACGTTCTGTGAAAATATCCAAACAAAAACACATGTTAGAGTCTCAAGTGTTGTAAGAGTAAATGTTAAACAGTTGGGTTGCTAATCTTTGTATAGTTACCCTGTGATCTGGTCGGTGATCCAGCCGCCATATAGAAAAAAATCTGAGGCAAAGATCTTTATTAAAAAACATCTCACTGATGAACTTGTTGAATCTTTCATTCTTGAGAACAGTTCCTTGGAGACTAAGACCAAATGATGGCTTGTATATTACGCTTACAGTTGAAGCAAGAAACTTCTCGCTCAAAATAACCGGACTTCTCCGAGAAATTGGTTACGTGACTGCGTCGATCACTTTCTTAGCTTCCTCGTCCTTGAAAGGTTGAATCAGTGACCTCATTTAGCACTGAAAAGATCTTGCACACAAATCCTCCTTAGTTCGTTCTAGTAATCATCAAAGGGAGAGAAATTAATGTCTAGGTAATTTTCCAAGATGTCCCAATAATGTCCCGTAGCGTCTCCGTGAGATGGCTACAAACAGCCATACCTGTGAATCATAGATTAGAGCAATACACCAATCAGGCAGGAAAATCATTTTCCAAATGCACACATGAGTGCATGGAACATAGAGATGTTTTTCTGTTATCTTACTTTGATATCGCTAGTTCTTCCTTGCACCGAATCACACTTGTGTGCCTAAATAAAATAAAAACAATGTTTAGCACGCTCCTTATTAATTTATTTATGACTCAAATATTGAGTAGGCTATATGTCAAATACCCTTTGGTACAAAATTTTCTGCCTTGACATTCGGAGGATTCTCTGACCAATTACTTTGGCTAATAAAGCTCTGCAGAAAATAAGAGCAAACCTCTAGAGATTAGGGGAGTAACTTATAATTAGGTGGTTCTTCGGGTTTGATACTATAAAACTGTGATTCCTTTGGAGGATAAGCGCAGGTACTGAGCGCAAACAACCTATACCACAACAGTTCCATGATAAACATCAAAATGGTTCGAGGAAGTATCTCACATTAGTTATTTGATTTAGGAATCTTCCATGCGATAAAGTAATTGCTAACCTTTCTTATAAGACTGGAGGTATTTCGCAACTTCTTGCAGGGCGATTTGCCGGCGAGCTTGGCAGTTGGTTCATACGACTACACGGCTCTATCTTGGTTTTCCAGAGCATGACTTTGCTCCTTGAGGTTGACCTGCAAGTAAACACTTTCTTATGTCCACTGCCTGATTTATGTGGTTTACACCATAACCTAACCATCACCACCAAATACATCTCAAATTATAAGAAGAGTAGGAAAGAGGTGAATAATGAAGTGGTAAGGTACCTCTTTGGAGTGGTGGATGCTTGAGGTAAACTTCACGAAGAAGAGAAGAGTTCTTGGCCTCTCGCTTGAACATACATGCTTGGAAGGTGTAGCTTTCATATCAACGCTGTCAATAGTAAACTGAAACTTTAACAACCATCTAGCTCAATCCAGATTCGAAAACAAATCAATAGAAATATAGCTGATGGTGAATAACTACTTGCCTCGTTTCTCTCTTTTTATCAGTTTTCTGCGTTGCCCTACTTCTATAGCTGCATACTTATCATAATATCCAAAGGTTCCAGCCATTATTTTCAGACTCCGTGAGATGATATATCACTTTGATGGAACAGATTAGGCTACTGGGAAAACAAATACGAAAACAACATAAAACATATAGTCATTCAATAAGCGAATTTTTTAAAAGAAAACAATTGCAAAATGAGCACTCTTCATCAAATGTATAGGATGGATGAAGAATATTTTAGATACACAATAACACAACACAGATTCATCGTTTCTTACCTTATGTATTCCAGTACGGCCTCTCAAATCAACTGTATATGTGTGTGCTAGTCTGTGCAATGAGATTTTTTTGATGTTTCAGTTCTGCTTCTTTTGACTGCAAAATAAGATGTGAAAGTCTTCAACATAAGTCCATAGAAAAGGAAACCAACGACCACAAACTTCAATTGCAATCAGGATGCATAATCAACTCCACAAAAATAAAAATAAAAACCCAGTAATTCAACATTTGAAGAAATAAAAAATTGAGGATATCTCTGAAGCTTCGAACTGACAGGGAATGCATTGGAACGACCATAGCTTTTGAGTTATGAGATCAATATGTGAATTGATTTGATTGAAGCCAAATATTGATTAGAACAGAGAATGGGTCAGAGGTCTGGGAAAACGGAAGAGAAGAAGTCGAATGTCAGGAAGTTGAAAGGTGAGAGAGCACTTGTAGTTTCTAGATTTCTCCGCAGAAACCAAACCAGGATTCGCAAGAATAAACCATCAGATTAGAATTTCGGTCAGAAATCCAAACCGGGTTAGCATGCTGTAACCAAAGCTGACATGGATAATTGGAGGCCTATTATTGGTTAAATATTTCTGGTGACATGGACAGGATAAAATGGCTTCATTTGCCCCTTTATTTATAGTAGATAGCTGATGGTGAATAACTACTTGCCTCGTTTCTCTCTTTTTTTATCAGTTTTCTGCGTTGCCCTACTTCTATAGCTGCATACTCATCATAATATCCAAAGGTTCCAGCCATTATTTTCAAACTCCGTGAGATGATATATCACTTTGATGGAACAGATTAGGCTACTGGAAAAACAAATACGAAAACAACATAAAACATATAGTCATTCAATAAGCGAATTTTTTAAAAGAAAACAATTGGAAAATGAGCACTCTTCATCAAATGTATAAGATGGATGAAGAATATTTTAGATACACAATAACACAACACAGATTCATCGTTTTTTACCTTATGTATTCCAGTACCGGCCTCTCAAATCAACTGTATATGTGTGTGCTAGTCTGTGCAATGAGATTTTTTTGATGTTTCAGTTCTGCTTCTTTTGACTGCAAAATAAGATGTGAAAGTCTTCAACATAAGTCCATAGAAAAGGAAACCAACGACCACAAACTTCAATTGCAACCAGGATGCATAATCAACTCCACAAAAACAAAAAAAAAAACCTGTAATTCAACATTTGAAGAAATAAAAAATTGAGGATATCTCTGAAGCTTCGAACTGACAGGGAATGCATTGGAAATGACCATAGCTTTTGAGTTATGAGATCAATATGTGAATTGATTTGATTGAAGCCAAATATTGATTAGAACAGAGAATGGGTTAGAGGTCTGGGAAAACGGAAGAGAAGAAGTCGAATCTCAGGAAGTTGAAAGGTGAGAGAGCACTTGTAGTTTCTAGATTTCTCCGCAGAAACCAAACCAGGATTCGCAAGAATAAACCATAAGATTAAAATTTCGGTCAGAAATCCAAACCGGGTTTAGAATGCTGTAACCAAAGCTGACATAGATAATTGGAGGTCTATTATTGGTTAAATATTTCTGGTGACGTGGACAGGCTAAAATGGCTTCATTTGCCCCTTTTATTTATAGTAGATATAAGTAAGTTTTATTGTTTTTTTGTTCAAAAAAAAAACAATAGACAAAGACATTGTTATTCATATATAATTTGATTAAATAATTATTTTAAGCTTTAGATCTTTTATTATTGTTAAGATAAGTTTATAACTGTTTCACCTTTAATTTTCTTAAAGTTTTAATTTTAGAAACTCCTAAACCTTTAATGGTTGGATTTTTTTTTGGAAACCCGTTAAAAATTTTTGATGAACTTTCAATAAAAAAAATTTAGCTATATGATTCCACCAGATTGACTGGTCAACTGAAATACATGAAAAATATTTAATTTATCAAAACTTGGTTAAGTATGAAGAAATAACCTGATGGTTCTGAACTGGTACGAAAAACATATAACATTATTAAGTTGATATACACTTGTTGAAATTCACTAAGACTATCTTTAATTATATATCATTTTAAAAGGAAAACATCAAAAGACAGAGGAAATTATTTTCTAATGGTACATCATTTCACAGAAATTATTTTCAATGATACATCAAATTTAAGAAATCTCTTTTCACAATTTCATTTTGATGTTGAATTTTTAAAAAGCGATCTTTAAATTTTAATAGTTTTTATATTAAAAGTATTAATATATATACTAATATAATATATATACTTTAAAAAAATTATAAATCATTCCATTAATACAATTATAAACGCATATAAATCATCGTATCTTCTATTAAAAATAAATTTATGTATATAATAAATATTTAGTTAAAATAAATTCAATGCTGGTATAATTTATAAGTCTTAAAAATAAAATGTTATTATAATTTAATAATAAATATTATATATTTACAAAATATTATGGTTGAGGAAAAAAATGAAGAAATCATTGGAATAAAACTCAAGTGTTTATTTGTGTTTAGCTCATTATAAAGGGACAAATTAAGAGTATGGAGATGGCCTGATATTTTTTCTGTTTTTTTTTTTACAATAAACGATTATTCTATCCCTCAAACTTGAGGTGGTCTGGGTAACCAGACCGGAATAAAACAACCAATATAACAAAACTCACGATAAAAAGATCTTGTAGCCTTAGCTAAAGAGACAGAAATTCTATATTGCGCTATCGGGATATGAGATATCTTAAAGTTTGGAAAACATATCAACAGCGTCATTATCACCTCCAATTCTATTGAAAATTTGGCCAGGCATGAGGTTCCTTTATCATCGCGATCAGTTCCTTGTAATCCGTCCCGAAGCTCTGACATGATGAATGTTGAAGCATACTCTCAATTGCACATCGCTGTGCTTCTACTTCTGAACATAAAGCAGTCTCTCAGCGTCTTAAGTTATGTGTCCCCATAAGTTTAATCTTTCCCAAGCCATCCATCCATCCAAACCCAACCACAACCACTGAACTGTGTTGTGGAAGTCCATAAACTATCCATCATACATATATTATCCAAGCTTATGACTTGGAATTCCTCAATATTCTGCTCTTGTGGAATGGGGGTTACCATTTCATTAGCATTGAACCGGACTTGGCATTCACTTTCCAGATATCGTACTAGCTTCAAAGGATCCTTTTATTGCCCTCGAAAGGGTTTATCATTTTGAGCCTTCTAAGTATACCAAATTATTCAGGGCTAAAGATCACTGTCTAATTCTAGTTCGAAGATGCTATTCTTTCTCCAGAAAAGGTTGTCCATATTGGCA